AAGGAGGCATCTTGAAGCTTTTCTGCACTCACTCTCAGCAGATGATGTTTCAAAAATCTTCTCAGGTTCTTCAACAGCCAAAAAAAAAAATCCAATGTTCTCTGCTTATTAAAGATCACACATAATGTCAGAGTCAACAAATTGTTGGAAAAATATGCGTTGTTCAAGGTATGTCCGAATAAACAGAATTCAGCTGTGTTTCTTCTTCAAAACTTTATTTTCAATCTTCTGACTCCAATCAGGTACATTCAGCGCTCAGCAGCACAGGCCTCAGCGTACAACCTTGGGCTGAATCCAAACAAACATGGGAGCTCTGCTCTGAGCAGACACTCTGCAAAAACACTGACGACTTCTTTCTCCTATAATAATGAATTGACCTTATGTTCATTCCTTCCTGGTTACACCCCAGAGGTGTTACCTTTTACGTCAGACATCAGAACGTCACTCGGTTTTGTTTAGGCTAAGAGAAAGAACACAGTAACACACACACACCAACTCTTATTTTGTTATGGCCTTAAAGCTGCAATGATCAGAAAGTATAAAATACAAAACTGAATCTAATATTCAATTAATCAGTTACAAAATTTCTTCAGAGACATAAAACAAGATCAGATACTTCACAATATTTTGTAGAGGAAGACAAGGAAATGAATGACCTAAATGTAATAGTAAATAAATTTAATCAATATTACGTAAATGTTGGCCCAAGCTTTGCAGCTAAAATAACATGAGTAGATAAGAATGTCGGCCATACAGTCATGGGTTGTGCCAATAGTATTTTTCTTGGTGAAATTGATAAACAAAAAATAATGAATATTGTAAAACACTTTGCTGACAAAAGATCAAAAGACTGGGTGGACATGAACATGATGCTTGTGAAGGAAATAATGGGTTATGTTATTGATCCATTTACATATATCTGTAATTTATCATTTTCAACAGGATTTTTTTTTCAAACAACATGAAAATTGCTATGGTAATCCCTCTCTATAAGAATGGTGAGAAATGTTTATAAAATATAGATCAATATCCTTGTTGCCACAGTTTTCAAAAATCTTAGAAAAGTTATTTGTGACTAGATTAGATCCGTTTATTGATAAACAAAATATTCATAGTAACAGTCAGTTTGGATTTAGAGCTAATCAATCAACATCAATTGCTCTCATGGAAATGATTGAAAAAATAACAACAGCAGTTGATCAAAAACTGACATGGGTAACTGTTCAACAATGTGGCAGAGCCGAGTAACCAAACAGAAAAACAATGAAAAGGTTAAGTGATTTATTTACAGGRGAGTATCTGGGACATCTGGCTGCAGAGAGGAGGGAAATGGAGAGGTGAGTATGGATATTAGTTTGAGTCTTTCAGAAAAGTTGTAGTAGAGATTAAAGCTGATTTTTTCTTACAGGTTTCTAGGAGGCGAGCAGCATGGACGAAGGAGGGGTTCACAAAGGTAATGATTTCTTCAGGCAGAATGGCTTAGTTGTCAGAGAAATGACCTTAGATCAGTACTTGATGGTTGGTTCCTTATCTTGTTCCAGGTAAGAGGTTTTCGAAGACGACTGGTCTGCGGGCCGTGAGGCTTCAGGTAATCTTGATGATCCACTTTGGGCAGAAGACGAAGGTAAGTAAAACAACACTTAGTTGGCTTAGACACTACCATAAAAGTAACATACATCAGTGTAGACCAAACAGTGGAGACGTCTTATAAAGTCCAGCAACTCATCAGGAGAAATCCCTCACAGGTGTAGATGATAAGGGCAGGAACCAATCAGGAAAAGGAAACAAACAAAATGATTCTTCACAAAAACAGTACTGTGTTAGTATTTACTGTGTGGATTTAAAGAAAGCATTTGACACCATTGATCACACAATTCTCCTTGAAAAGCTAAATAAATATGGTATAAGAGGACCAACTCTACAGTGGGTATCTAGCTATTTGGAAAACAGGAAACAGTTTGTTCAAATACATAATGTAAGCTCTGAACTCTGTAATATCACACGTGGAGTGCCTCACGGTTCTGTATTTGAAGCATTTGGTGAGTTTCTCACCCACCTCCTCCTGTTTCACCTCTCCTCATGAGTTAATTGGCA